AATATAAAGACACAAGTAGGTTAGAAGTAAGCGGGTGGATAAAAGATATACAGCAAATTCTGAACATGTGAAGCCCATAATAACTGTACTATCCATAAAAGTAAGTATCAAAATAAAGAATATTATTATAGAGAAAAAGGGACATTTTATAAAGATAAAATAGTCTATGCATCAATAAGGCATGTAAATCTTAAATGTGAATGCTCTCAATAACAGAGCTTCAAAAATACATAAAGAAAAAAACGACAGAACTGGGCTTCCCTGGTGGCGCAGTGGTTGAGAGTCCGCCTGCCGACGCAGGGGACACGGGTTCGTGCCCCGGTCCGGGAGGATCCCACGTGCCGCAGAGCGGCTGGGCCCGTGAGCCATGGCCGCTGAGCCTGCGCGTCCGGAGCCTGTGCTCCGCAACGGGAGAGGCCACAACAGTGAGAGGCCCGTGTATCGCAAAAAAAAAAGGAACACGAGGGAACTTTTAGCAGCAATGGGAATGTTCTACAACCTGATTGCTGTGGTAGTCACGCAGGTGTGTACATTTGTCAAAACTTGAAGAATGTGCACTTAAAATGGGTATATTTTATAGTATGCAAGAAGGTAATCATTTGTTGTGTAAGCAATATTAACACTTACTATTATCTAACTCTTTCCCAAGATTATACAGCACTTTGAATTCCTTTAGTTCATCTGACAAGTGGGAGATTAGCATGGGTTATCTTGGTCTGATCGAACATCACAATTGGAATTGACCTTTCCATCCCCTGAGCTTTTACAGAACTTTGGATCTCATGTTTTAGCTCTTGGTGTGCATTTCTTAGCTCCCCTAGTTGGCCTCATAAAGGGCAGGAGCTTGGTACAACTATAACAGTTCTTTACTTAAAACTTTCCCCACAGCTCATTTTGTGAATATAGTTAATGTTGAATGAACGTATTACTGGAGAGCAATTGGGATGGGCTACTTTGGAAAGTCCCGAGTTTCCTGTCGATAGAGGTGTTTAAGAGAAGACTGAACAACTGTATATTAGAAATGTTGTAAAGTGATTCAAACATCAGATGATGTTTGGACTAGAGAAGTTCTTTCCCAGCTCTGATTTATGTAAAAAGAAAGCTTCCAAGGGGATGCAGTGTTTCTTCATAGAGAAAAGAGATTCTAAAAAGTAAGAGGGACAGGAGCCATCCTGACAATCCACTGACCACAGACAGAGTGGGGTTCGCCCTAAACCAACAGAGTGGGATTCAATGCCTGTTACCAAGAATGTGAGGTTGAATTATAAGCAAGGGAAGGATATAATTTTGGAAATGTACAAACCAGATATTCTGTTATGAAATCTAATAGGAGTTTCAAAACACACGGGTTCATGTGAGAAGTTCCATGGAAAGAAAAGATGGTGGTGATGTGGGCATGAATCACCTGAGGATGGCTGATTCATAGAACTGCCCTTTCACTCCACTCTGTGAGGGCAAGACTACCCACTCCTGAGGACCTTCATCCTTAAGATGAAGGAATGAATTCAGCACAAGGTCTGCACGTCCTCTCATCAGACTCCTTTGCTTATCATTGTCATTATAACCTTTAAGTCTAAGTTTACTCATCTGTCAAATGAGAATAATAATAATTAGAGAACCATCATGAGGATCTGATAAGATCATGCATGTTTAGTTAAGGCCATGACACATAGAAAGTACTCAGTAAATCCTGGCTATGAAAATGGCCATCATTAAACAATATGTCATTGTACATTGCCAGTTACCCAGAGACAGTAAGTAGGAGCACCATCTCCAGTCTCTGTACCATGCCCAGAGCGAGACAGCCTGTGCCACCTTCTAACACGCTCATGAACAATCTTTACTGCGTTAAAATCAGAAACTTGGGGAGAATGAGTCTTTCTCCTTTTTAAGTTTTATCTGTAGAGTCCCAAGAAGTTTTGGATGTAATACTTTATTTTCCAGTCAACCTCATTTCTACGGAGGTGTATTCTACTAGATTGAAAGTTCTATGAAATTCCGTGAGAGCAGACATCTGTAAGTTATACGCATCATTGTTTGCCCAGGGCCTAGCAAGGTACTTGGCACTTAGTAGGAGCTCAGTAGATATCAGGTGAATGAATATGATCTCCTTTCCAAAAACCTTATATACAAGTCACGTTTGACAGAACCCCTAAGTGGCTGCCTTGCTGTGCAGCAATGAAGCAAGGTTCGTACATCGGAAGTGTAACTGTGATCCTACTGAGCAGTCATTTAACCTCTTTACAGCAACTGGAAGATTGTTTCTCAGCTGTACGAAATTAACAAGGAACTAATTCATGCTTCATGTTCCCTGTTCTTCATAATGAGGTCTTCTTACTAGTTTAATTAGTTAGTAAAGGACAGCATTCTCTTCTTTCCACCTTTTGTCAAGAATTCTAAAGACTTTAAGAAAAATGACTCAGGAGGTGAAACAGCAGGACTCCTGGTATTACTTATAAACTCTGCACTGGGAACTATTTCAGGGTCTGTAGCAGCGAATCTCAAGCACCATTTACCTTGCCTCATGATGCCGGAGTTTGAGTATAAATGATGGAACAGCTAATGACATGCTGGCCCACAAAGTAGCATTAGCTTCCTTTATCATCATCAGCCTTTTTTAAAAAAAAAAAAACCCTCAGAAATGTATAAATTGCAGTTTATCTCACCACAGAAGCGTTTAGTCAAATGTACTGTAATTATATTTTGAGTGGCTACTGAGAATATTCACTGTTCCTTCATTATAAGGATTGTCCTAAGAATTACATTAATGAGGGTGAACCATAATAGCATTGGGAATCTAGCTGCGTTTAAATGTTAAATTTACATCTCAGCCTTGTAGATTCCCTGTTAATTGGTAGCTATGGGCCAGGATCTTTTCATGAGCATTGGCATTTAATGGATATTCCTTGAACTGGTGTTTTACTTTAAGTGAAATGTGTGTCTGCATTAAGAGCATATTCATTTCCCAGTCTCCTTCTTATACATTTGTTTCCTTTGTTTTGGAATCCACAAAGCTTTGCATGTTTAGCTCACTTTTTTCCCTCACTGCATAACGACTTTTAGAAGGTTAAATTTTAAAAGGTTTTGTGTGTAAAAAAAAAAAAAATTGCATCCCTTTAGCAGACAGTCAATTAATGGGGCTGCACTTAGCTGCCAAATGGGAACCTGCCAGGTGACCAAGAAAGAAAGAGGTTATTTGCATAAATAAAATGAAAGCATATTAGAATAACTGAGCCAACATCCACCAAATTTTTCACCAGTGTCAACCTCGAACTTTACCTGCTTCATTTTCAGGATTATGGTTTGAAGCCAGGACCATTCACCATGTTTCTCTTTTCCTTGTACTTCTTTCCTCAGAAGTGGAGGAAATTTGACTAATACTTTGCAGCTTTAGCCAAATAGTTTGTGATCTTCCTGTAACCCACTGACTTACACAAAAGCATGGACACACTTATTTTGGATAAATCCATGCTATCTGACACATAAACAAACAATAAAGAATTGAAAGGAGTCTCGAGGCACTCACTCCCAGATCAGTTTTCTTCAATGTCCTGAGCTGCCATGGCACCATCCTCATTTTTCTGGCCATGATTACATGTTATTCATTAGTATTACCTTTTATTATATTTTTAATGCTATATCTTTTCAGATGGGATTTTTTTTTTTTTGTAGCAGTTGTACTTTCTTCTGTATGTTTCCTATTTTCTGTGATACAACTTCCTGTGACCTTCACGCTGTCATATCCAGAAATGAAGAAGCCTATCTTGGTGCAGACTCTCGGTCCATCTGGCCCATAATTCTACTGCTGACAATGGCCCCCAAAGCCATTTTGTGGAGGACTTGGCTGCCCACCTTGACATGATCCCTAAGATTTTAGGTGCACAGTCTAAAATAATCCCATTTCTCTTTGTAACCTAGTATGGCTTAATCAGCTGTGAATTTAGCTACATCCCTTTAAAAGGACAAGTTTAGCCTGTCCTACCTACTGGGGAGTGGGTGGGGGGCAGGATGGAGGGAGGGTAATGGAGATCCACAGTGTAACTGGAAGGGCCATTACAGGTTCTCAAGACTGATTTCAGTTCCAAATAGTGATACCAATCCTCAGGTGGACTGTCTTCTAGAGAAATACCCGCTCTTCTGTTCTTTGTCTCATAGCCAGTTAGTTCTCTATCCACAGCAAAACATTGCCTTCCATCCAATAGCAACTCAACCTTTTTGATTGTCAGTATAGTTTTATCAGTGTTTCTTTGAATGGGTAAAATACCCCCCTTCTCCTTGCTTACAACTTTTTTAAACCTTTTTAAAGATTGTAAAGATTGTGAAAACAAGCCAACTCTCCCTTTTATAAAAAAAACTATGATCTTTTTTTTCCTATAGACTATGAGCTTAAGTGCTTAATAATAAACCTCTTTTAAAATAAATTTTATAAATCCATCAGCTTGGCCATGTGGCAGTGAGAATCACTATTCAGAGGTTCATAGAGCCTCCCTTGCAACCTCTCTCATGGATGAACATCTTCCTATCGACCAGTTGGCCTCCAATACCATAGTCATTTGCAGTGGCTCTCTCCAGCTCCACCATGATCCCCAGGCATTCCTGCCATGCACCTGCCAACCAGCCTTCCAGCATTATTCATAATTCAGTAGAGGAAGTAGGTCTAGAACAGCATGTCCATGTAGTACTTCCAACTTGTCTCATTCCTTTGTGTCTGCTTGCCAACAGAATGGGAGGTGGCAAACAGACACAAAGGTTTCTATCGGTCGATACTAACATCCGCCTTCCACTCACAGTGGCTTTGTAACCTTTATGTGTCTGTAGCCAGAAATCAAAATCTGTCCATTTGAACACAGTTATGGAAAACCATGTTGATTTTAAGGCTTTCATTATAAACTTCACCCTGGAAACAATCTTTAGAGTCTTTCCAAGTCTGAAGACCCACAGGCATTGAATATTCTCACAGTGTGCTCTGTCAGAGATCGTTTTTACTGATGTTTTCTTAGGAGCGTCGTTCCCCAGGTATGGAGAGGACTGCCGAAAGGCCTTTACAAGGAGTCAGGCTGGCTCAGGTAGGTGGGAGCTTTATTGACAACAGGCCATGAAAGAAGAGTGGGTAAGAATTTCTGTATGGACAAAGGGAGAATTATAAATTGGGACTGACATATAAACATGAGTAAGATTCAAAAATTCCCCCTCAGAAGAAGTGTCAATATTAGTTTGAGTTACAGAACAAGGTAGAAGGAGAGAGTGGTATAGATGTTTCTTTATAGCTACATATGGAAGCTATGACTACACATGCACACACATAAAATTATAAACTCAAAGATAAGGAACCAATCATATATGAATGTGATTGTACTTTTAAGGTTTATAGGTGGGTGGTATTATAATTTTCTGAAAGGCAGAATCGTGACTCTCATGTGGAAGGTGTGAGGCAGGTCAGGGGAGAAATTAGGGTATTAAGGGGTGGGTACATGTTGAAGACAAGTCCAATTTTATATACACACAGATGTGCATATATATGTTTTTATATAGAGACGTATATACATTCATTTATATTAATGTGTGTGTGTGTATAAAATTTGTTTTTATTTTCCCCCCAATCCTCCTCATAATTGGGGACCATCCACTACCCTAAAGGGAGAAGGCAGAAGACCAGCCCTTATGTTGGTGACCAGTTTGCTCAGTGCTGTTAGGGTAATCATGGGTAAAATCATGGATGGGGACTGTGAGTCGCTGAACTTTTGAGAAGCAACATGAATGTGATTATTCCTTTAAGGTTGTAGATGGGTGGTATTAAATTATAGTTTTCTAAAAGCTGAAATCATGATTCTCATGCAAATAAAAAATGAACACATGTCAAAGATTTTATTCAATTCATTCATTTATATGGGAATCAGTAAGATATTCACACCAATTCAAAGAGCATTTGAGAAGCTGAGTTTATGTAATTTAATAAGTATTAACCTAAGATTGCTAGGTTAGATTAAAACTGCTTAACTGGTTAATGTCTTAGAGGCCAATAAACTGTAACCTTTGGAAACAACTGTTCTATGGGACAGAAATAATTTTCATCTAGAAAAAATGAAATAGACTAAATATCTATGAGTTAACATATAACGTCACCAAGTCTGGGACCTTTAATCAGTAGTAAGCAGTGAGTCAAACTAAGTACGTCGTCCTAGAGAATCTTTGCATGGACTTTGCCCTGAATGACATTGATAGGATGTGCTGCCTTATTTTCAAGTTGTGGATAATTTCCATAACAGTGGTGAAAAGTAGAGGAACATATTGAATAGTACATACTAGAGTGTTTAGATCTCAGCTTCTATGTGAAATATCCCATGTTTTTGGTAACAAGAATCTTCTTATCATTCCCCAAGGCAGCAGCTGAGAGAAGAATCCCCAGAAAATAGGATTTACTTAGCAAAATTGCTGTAGAGAGGGAGAATGAAGCCAGTATTTACCTCTGCTTTTGCCCCATTAGATATTTAACAATTCATTCATTTATCCATACAGTGATTCAACAAACATTTATTGAGCATCTACTGCCTGCCAGGCTTTGGGGAGTAGAGTGAAAAAGACAAAGTCCCTTCTAGTGGGAAAGACAAGCAGCAAATAATGAAATCATTACAAGAATAATATAGTTTTAGGTAGTAGAAGAGTGCTATGAAAGGTAGGGGCGGTGAAGAAGCAGGGTAAGAGGATAACAAATGATTAGAGGGGAGGGGTGGGTTTTAGATGGGATGGTTGCAAGCTCTTAGGAGGATTGGCAGGCCCTGCAGTGTGTGGCCCAGCAAGAGCAGGGGGCTTGGTGTCAGGAGAGGCTCTGCTATCCATCTTCTGATAGGCAGTCCCAGGCTGCCTGAGCCCACTGTCTGAATATGATTACATCTTCACTCTAGTTCATGGCCCAGGATACCTCCAGTTTGAATTTCCATCTTCTTGTCATGAAGCAAAGTAAGGATGGGGGACCAGAGCTGCGAGTGGAGCAAACAGCGCACACAGTTCGCCACCGGGGAAAAAGCTGTTACAGATGTCCTGCTTTAAGGCAGGGAGAGAAGGCTCAGCAAACTGGTTAGGAGCATTGTTTTCATATCAGACACAGCTGGCCTTGAATCCTATCTCTACTGCTTTGGCTGTGTGACTTTAGTTACTCAAATCCATTTTCCATCTGTTAATGATGCATAATGATCACTCCCTCATGGGGTCACTTGGAAAATTAAATGAAATCAATCATCTCCAAAAAGCCCTAGGCACACAGGAGGCCGTCAACAAATAGTATTTTTCCTGTTATTCCCACATTTGGAGAGTCTGTAGTACCATCTTCCTATAGCAGTAATTAATTAGTCTTATTACAGGCGTACGGTTCTTCAACTTTATGGAAAGATGAATCATTATCCTAGCGTTTAGGTACATGTGAACTGGAGGTCCTCCAGACGTGTTGGTGTTGACCCATGTTCTGTGGTCAAAATTATCCCAGCCAACAATCCAAGTTTTCCAAAGAGATGGAAGGTGCGACGCCTTAGTGGCACACCTGAAACTTTTCAGCACAGGCTTGGAAATTCTTGGGTGAGAATTTAGAAACTAAGATTATAATACTTTTCATGGAGTTTTGATCTGGGACGTTTTTCCATTTCCTGTCTGTCCTTTCCTTTCCTTTGTTTTACTGTTCTTTCCTTTCCCTCTTATAAGTTGCTTTCTCTTCTGGAGAGCTATGGGTTAGGAAGGTATTAATTAGCTGCGTCTCGCTCTAATTTTCAATGAGATTTAATATAGCAGGGATAAAACTGCCCCTTTTGAAAAGAGAGATTAAATGTCTGCAAATTCCTTGAATTGATTTTCTAATTGTTTTGGTAATAATGTTTTTTCATTTGATAACGTTGCTGAAAGAAATAATAACTTTAATTAAACTTTAAATGTAATTTTTTATTTTATATATCCTAGGGAGACTAAGTTTTCTTGTAGGGAACAAGTTAAGACCATAACCTTCTTCTCTAACCTCATAATTATTATGATCAGGAAATGTCTGTAATACATTACATTGTAATTAAATTGCATACCCCAGACTGTGCAAGATCTGTTTATAAAGGACAAATGGATTTTCCACAGCTGCTTGCCTGTGAGTGCATCCTTCGTGAAACACTGCGGCAGCCGATGTACGCACGGAAATAACAGACTTGAATTTAAATTTTCAAAGCTTTCAAATGTCTTTCAAAGTCTTCTCATAACATGAATTGCTTAATTTGTGTACATGAAAACCCACTGATTACATATGAATGAGAGTCAACCTACAATAAGAGGGGCTATGAGAATCTTTGTGTATTTAGCCACCCATCTCTTCAGGAATTAGCAGGTATTCATTTAATCTTGTTCTGATATCCTGCACAGGCTGCACAGATCCCCGTCATTACGGGGATCGTTCTGTGAAGATTGGAATCTTCTGTGAACAGTACGGGGTGGGTCAGGTATTTCTTACGATATTCATTGGACCATCTTCACCCAGTCACACAGCTGGAAAATATTTTGTGAGATGAATGTTTACAAAAGAAAAAAAAAAGGATTCAGAGAGGAGAGAGAAGAAGGGGGAAGAGAAGGATGAGAAGGAAAAATAATCCAAACAAACATGGGTCAAGGCGGGGTCACATAGAGTAGACCTCATGGTCCACCTGTTCCATCTTTAAATAAGAATTTTAAATCCTTCAGGTTTTGTATTGAAATGCTCATGCTGTTGTGGAAATACTGGGTTAACCTTGTGGATACGTAATACCTTATAGTAAAGTAGTAACTGAGTGCTTACTCGTCCTCACCAGCATCTCGAACTCGGGTATCATTAGCCCTCACTCATTCATGAGGAGACCGAGGCTGAGTGGCCTTACGTGACTCTCCCAAATTCACCCAGATATTAAGCAGAGGAGTTTGAATTGGAACCCGGTCCTATCTGACTCTAACCCCTATGTTCTCTCAGCTGTATCTCCCTGTCTAGGCCCAATTTCTCCTTGACTGACAAGCTCAAGGATACGTCTTCACATCCTTAAATTCCAGACCTCCCTTAGAACTAATTTCCTAAAGGTGAACTGTCCTAATCATGCTGTAATTTGTTTCCGAGGGGTGAATATTAGCCTTCAGAGCAGGTTCCTTCCTACCAGCTTTCACCTTCTAAAAATCATTTGATTTGATTCCCTACCTGTCAGAAGATACTGTGCAATTTATCCCTAAGGACAGTTAACATTTCCTCCGCCGCCCCCCGACCTTGTGACGTCAGGCGCTCCCTCAGTGCTGGTCTTTTCGATCAGTGGCTGTCACTGACAAAATGTCTACTTGGAACTGCAGAGACAAAGCTGTAAGGCTGCCAGCAGGCCTGCTCTCCTATCCCCTGTGGCTATCAGTGTTCTCCCCGGTGGTACAGATCTTCTGGAGTTGTTTCAGTTTTGTCCGTCGCTCATGGGAACTTAGATGATCGCTGAGGAAATGCTTTCCTTAAGTCACTAGTTTTAAAGGGAGGCAGCCAAATTCCCAGCCATCTGGCAGTCAGTTTCTTTCAGTCTGAGACAGGGAATTTCAGAGGCCTTGAAGAGGGCATGCACAAATATTTCTTCCTTCTATTTTTTCAATATGGAATTTGGAGCCTTGTCTGTCAGCCATCATGCTGCGTCTTTAGGAAACTCTAAATGGGAGGAAACCAGCCCCTAGCAAGCTGCACTTTGTCTCTTGGAATTAAATGTCCTTTTCTGTTTCTTGAAATCCACAGTTCTGATTCATCTTCTCTCTGCCCTCAGTGACTTCCATTCTTTGAACTCCTTGACTTTGTCCTTAACTTGTGGATGAATTTGACATCCAGCTGATGCTCTCTGGGATCCAGAGAGCACATCCTGCTCACCGGCTTCAACTAGTTCTAAAATGTCATGGTTTCTGTTAAAATGCTTCTAGCTCCTACCAAAGTAAACACACAGATTTGTCTCTCTCGGGTTGTGCTGTGAGTTCATGGCGTAAAGTGTCTTCTGGTTTAAAAATGGACCACTGGGCTTTTCACTGGAAGTTTGGTTATCTCTGTACACATGCTTTCCAG